AAAGCTGGAGTTGTGACTCAAAGGATTATAGACCCAAATTTGGTGAAAGGAGAGAAAGGACAAAAGATAAAAAGTTGTCAGAAAGGTTAAATAGTTCTTCTGTTAGGCAAATATTGAGTCTTAATTTTCCAACCTTTCTCGCTTCTTTATCTTTTGTCCTTTCTCTTCTTTTTCCGAATTTGGCTCTATAATCCTTTGAGTCAAAACTCCATCTTTATTTAGTATTCCTTCCAGCGTTGCAAGATTTGGCTACATTGCGCCAATGTGGCTACTTTTTTAGTTTAACGTAAAAAAATATCATTTGGCGCTTTGGCTACTTTTGGGGCTACATATCATTTATAAATATATTAGTCGAATAAAAATGCACTTTAAAATGGTGTTTCGTCGCTTTTTATTAATCAGAGACTCAAATAAAGCAAATATTTAGATTTTATCAAATAAATGAATTTATCTATTTCTAAGTAAAAATTGAAAGTGACTGTAGAAGTAATTTTTTAAAATATCCTATTTCGTGATAAAGTTTTAATACTTATTATTATAATCTAGACATGTTAATCCTTAAATATACTTGTATATTGAACCACAAGTATATATTATATATACTTGTGGCCCAAAACTCCATGACTTCTTCCAATGCGGCCCAGAGAAACAAAAAGGTTGGACACCCCTGATTTATAGTAACTTATAATATAGGCTATATAATATATTAATTTATAGCCTATATATATATAAATTGTATATTATATAATATAGCCTATATAAGGCTTGAAAGATTCATGTATATAAATATTGGATTGGTAAGGCAATTTATATAATATCATTTTTGAAAATTAAAATTAAGTAAATAATAAAACAGACCCTATCAATATTGTTACAATTTGAAAATACTAATCTTCATAATTTCTAAACTTTAAGCAAAATATATAAACTGCCTTAATTAAAGTCTAGATGAAATTACCTTTTAGTAGCGATACATCTCAAACATCCAATATTTGCTATTGTATACTCTCAGTGGGTTGGATATTCTCTACTCAATCAAGAAAATTTCTCTTGATTGAGAAGAGCTTTTTCAAACTGATAGCTTATAAATTAACGTTATAAAAATGAATGCACTCTGATTAAAATTTTAAAAACCAAACTTATTTTTTCATTATTTACTTGCTTATTTACAATAAGCTTTAGTCAACTTTCCATCTTGATTTGAAATCATGGAATATCAATTTTTTTCCGTTTTATTCAGCATTTGACATTTAAATAGTAATGTATATTTTATTTATAAACTACATATATTTACAATATATATGTATTTTATTATACTAACTAATAAAGGAAGCGATACTGATGATTCAAGAATTGTTTGTAAGTAGTCTTATATATATATATTTTAAACATTTATTAACACTTTACACTTTGCGGTCAATAAAGAATGAATATAATTTAACTTAAAAAATTTTTAAAAATAGTAAGTTTTTTACAATTAGATTATTTCTGCTAACTCTTCTAAGCTGTCGACTATTCGAATACTACTAATGCCTTGTCTACGTCTTTGTTTTACAAAGCTATATTTTAAAAGTTTAAATAAAAATTCATAGATAGTGCATTATTACGAACGTTTTTAATAAATTTTTTATAGTTTTGTAAATAAATAATTAGTTGTTGCAATTTAATGATTTAGAATTCATTTTTTAATTTCCAAAAATACACTGCACGGTTTTTTAGCATTTAAAAAAATATATTAATAAATATTTAGAAAATATTGTAGTAGAAATTTACATTATCTCAGTGTTGCTATTTGTCTTGAAATGTACGTAGAAAAAGAAGATTAGAAATAGTTATAATGCCACCAATCTTTACTATTTATTTTCGAAGCAAATTGTAAACTTACATTAAAAGAAAGGGATTGCAGTTTTATACAATAAAAACATTTTAGTGTCTGACTCTCAAGTAGCACTCTCCTAACAGAAGGGGTGGTGCTTTTTATAAAGTAAAGAAATATCTCATCAGATAAATCATGTTAAAAGTTTTATCCTCTTAAAAATCTCTAACACACTCAAATAAAGAATAAGAGTGAAAGTAAAAATTTTGATTTACATTTTATTCTGACCAAATCTGATTTTGGATTTTACATTTTCCATGTGCTATTGGAACAATTGACAGGATCCACATTTCCATTTAAATGTCACACAAAAATTGATATAAATATAATCTTATCTAAAGAGTTTTCGTCTATTGTTATGTAGATAACGTAGAATAATATCAATTTTATAAAAATTTTCGATTGTATAAGATATTATGTAAATGTAGTTAACACAAATAAAATTTCCATTAAACATACGATACATTTTATACATTTGAGATAATACAAAATAATTTTCTAAAATATCTTATATATAGCTTATATATAAAATTTAACGAAACAATTATAATGCTAATTATTTGAATCGAGAATAGATATTGCAAAGCATTTTTTTAAAAAAATATCATTTATCATTTGCTTTTATGAAAGATCTCTCTTAGTGATTGCCATGATTGGACATGTCAGGAACAACGGTTTTAAACGATGTCCTTTTAACAACTTTTATGTTGGTGATATTTTTAGTATTAAAAATCATTAAATTGGATAATATTTATTAGATTTTCAGTAGTAAAAATGAAATTATACTAATAAAAAGTGTAAAAATTGTATTAATTAATCTGTAGGAACTTAACCTATAGCGATTATTAATACAGTTTTCACGTAAAGAAATATAACATGCATGTACAAGATGTAATGTATATTATACTACACACAATTATAATAGATATTGTTCAGAAATATATAACATAATTTCATCGCAAATTCTACAAATGTTTAATAAAAATGATTAAAAAATGGCGTCTTACTCATGGTTTTAAAATAAAATTTATTAGCCTAAATTAATTTAATAAAAACTATTGTCAGTTTTATATAAATTACACTTCTATATAAAATGATAAATCTTTTAATTACATAAAGCTTTTATTTTAAATTTCACTAGTTTTTCAATTAATTTTTATAAAGTGAAATTTCGGATTTTTAGCCTTTGAAGATTCTTTATCACTGTTTGATGAATGCTTTTTTATTTGGTGATCCAATAAATATTCTGACACAGATTGATTTACAGGTTGTAAAACAGGCTGGAATCTTCGTCATTTTTTATCTGGAAAAAAATGAGATGATTTTAATAAAGCGTATATACACGTTAGTGCATAAATTGAACGCATTAAATATAATAAGAATTTTCTTTTTGATCTTTCTATCTTTCTAGATCAAAATTAATTATTAAAACTCTAGAGAATAACGACCATCTATCTAGCCTATTTATTATTAAGTATAAATCTTCAAATTCTTGGTGTTACTAAATTTTGGATGTTGGATAAGGAGTATCAAGTTTTATAAATATTTCAAATGGAAGGTCTTTTATTATTTTCTTTGTTTCTTTTATCGGAATTTGTCAAATGCCTTTATTTGTTTTCCACTCAATCTGATTTTACGTTGTAAGAATATCAAAGAAACTCATCTGTTTTCATTCTCTATAAATTTCGAATTTTGTATACAAGTGTAGTTTTTATAAAGTGAAAATTTTATTTAAAAAAAAAAGAAATCACAGAGGAGTCACTATCGATTCTTTTAGTCTAAATGTACGTGAGTTTATTTTCTTGTTTTATTACGGCCTATTTTCATTATTGGGAGGATATCTTTGAGATCATTGGGAAATGTTTTTAAAAATTTACGAATAAAACATAACTAAACTAAGATTTTAACTATACATTTTAATTTTGTACAAAACTAAACATATAAGTAAAAATTCATGGAATTTAAACTTTAATAAAACCAATACACAACTAAATGAAAGCCATAATAAGAATAATAACATGCACGCGTAGGAGATATTTAAAATTTCATAAACATAATTTTTAGCATTTTTAATCATTCCTGTCGACAAATTAAGCAATCAGAAGCAGTGTTGACCTCTCTCTTCGTAGATTAAGTAAGATTATTTATCATCATATCTCTTTCTGTGCTTACTACGATAACGCGAATAAAATATATTTGATTATTGATATACAGTAGAACCTCGATTATCCGGACCTCTATTATCCGGATTTTCGATTATCCGGATTGTTCAAAATAAACAAAAATTTTACGAATTTGCTGATTTGCACTTGGCGAATTACGACACTGTTTATGTACGTGATGGAATGCATAACTTTTTTTGTTTCAACAACGTNATTTAGACAGAGGGCCAGAACATCATTTAATTCAGGTAACAAATTTGCTCATTACATTGAATTTCTTGTGTATTAAGGAAAACTTAAAATTTGTTTTAAAAAATGTTTAATGTAATACAATTTTTAACTATATTTTAACGATACAATAGAAGCCTCAAAGAGATAAATAATAAGTGTTTCCCTCACTTTCTACTTCAGATGAAACAATTGAAATGCTTTATAAATAAAACATTTTACTGTTTTATTTCAGATGTCAAGTTATAGTTTTTAAAAAAAATTTCTTCCAAGGTTTTTTCTCTCCGGATCCAAAATTATATAATATTGTCTACATCTATGATAATTTTCGTAATATTATATATATTTTTGATTAATGCAGATTTTACACAACTTTTTATATTTCAGATTCACTAGCAGATAAAGAAGTAGAAGATTACTGTTTACTCCTTTTGCTGCATGGTTCATGTTTAAAACTTTCTGGAAAATATAAACTCGCAGAAGAATGCTTTAAGAATGTTATCAATTTGTAAATTATCTTATATATTATTTTATTTAATGCCTCTTATATGTATAAAATATTTCATAATACATTTTCTCTTTACTAGAGATAAAAATGTACACGAAGACTTACACATAGTTGCATTTGCAGCAACAGAATTAGGATTACTCGCAATGGAACAAGGCTGTTACAAAGAATCGAAAGAATATTTGGAAAGAGCAATGTAATTATCTAAATTTAACATAGAATATTTGTTAAATACTTATTACAAGTGGTAATCTTTTTTCAGAAATAATTATCACGGATATCAAGTCGAAACAATTGTCCACTTCAGAGTGCACACTGCTCTTCGACAGTTGAAAATAGTTTCCAATTCGGCATCCATGCTGGATTTATCTTCTAAGCAGATGAGAGAATGCACATATCCCACTTCCAAAATACAGTGCGGAAGTTATCCCATGCTTCATAAAACCATATGTCAAGAAGAAAATGGATTAATAAAAACATAAATTATTTTACATAAATATAAACAAGATAATATATAAAAGTACAAGTACTAATTATCTCAAAAAGTATTATAAATATGCAAATATGTTGGATTCAAACTGTTTTGTTTATATATATACATATATACATTATATGTACGTGTAGTTTTTAATTTTGTTAATTTTTATAGTTCTTATCTTTTGTATAAATATAATATATATCAATAATAGAATATTAATATTATCCGTATGAAAAGTTTATTAAAATTTTACTTTTTATCATATGCAGAGTAGTTTTATTTAATTGATATTTTCTGAATTTTTATTACTCGTATATTATACTCGTACTTACCGCCTTTAATGTGAATAAATTAGACAATAAGTCGACGTTTTATAAATTTCTTTCCAGACCAGTTGAAAATTTTGCACATATTTTGATATATATTAAATTAATAATTTTATTATTGGCACTTCCAACTCTATCAACACTAAATATAGTTATTTATGGTCATATTTTACCAAAATTCTGAAATAAATAAATATATATATATATATTTATTTATTTGTATTAATATTTTATATATATATATATAAAATATTTTGGCAGGTTTTCGTTTTATAGAGGATTATATTTTTATTAATGCAGAAAAAGAGAAAGGTTGAAAAAATGTTAAAATTATTACTTAGAATTGCTTCTCCTCAAACTTAAGTATCCTCCAACTTACCTTCTTTAACACACAGTAAGTGTCATACTTTTCAAAATTATGTAGAAAACACCGGAGTATTTAGACTACACAGTTGTGTATGTAAGGATAACTGCCCTTAGAAATTAATTTTATTTATTTCTCACGTCAATAATGCTTAATTTTGACTAGCTTTAACAGTTTTGTCAGAGAGCACTAGTTACTCATTCTTTCGTCTAACCCAAGGATAGCGAACCTGTGGCACGCGTTCCCAAACTGGCACTATAGAAAAATCGTCTGGCACGTAACGTATCATACGATTTCGATTGATCATTTGTCTTTTTCAATTACCCTTTTCTCAATAAGCTTTTTTATTTTTTACATTTATTCTAATTAAAGCATATTCGTTTAATTTCTTTAAATATTGTTATTCGAAGTTTAAAACTTTGGCACGCATAAACATCTTTAAAGCTAAGTGTACTTACTATATGGCACGCGGGTTCAGAAAAGTTAGCCACCCCTGGTCTAGCCAATATTATAAGAGTGGAAGCTTTTCAATCGAAATAGTTTTATCGTAATCGTTTGATAACTTTTACTTGCGAAGAAATGGGAATACATCAAATAAATTAAATTTTTAGATTTTTATAACTCGTGATTTTTCTTCAAAAAACAGTTTATACTTTTTAAATATTCGTTTCTCCGGGAGAAGAGTTTCTCCCAGAGTTCTGGAGAGAAACAGTGGCAATGCATTATCGCAGCTACTTTCTAGACAATGAAAGTACAACTTCATCATATAAAAAATAGGCTATAACTCTTGGTACCTAGAAATAGACTATGATCCGAGGTTTACAGCATTAGACTAATTAAAACTCAGACTTCGGCTGCATTTATGCCGAAAAATTCCGCTTTACTCGGGTTATATTATGAAATTAGTTCTCAGAAGTCTTCTGTTTTCGTGAGGTTTCTGGTTTACAATACTATTTTATACAACAAATTCTGTGTAGATAAACCATGACTTGTGAGATTTGTTTTCCGTTTAGAAAAGGTTCCATTTTATAAAGGGTTCGCTTTAGATGGCTTTTACTACATCGTTTTGATATGTAGATCGGGCTTTATTTTGATGGTTTTTAGATCAAGAAATGGGGGAAATAGAAGGCCAGTGAGAGAGAGTGGTTGAGTGATAAAGGCAGAAAGTGAAAAGGCAACATTTAAGATCTGTACTGAAAGACTAGTAAAATTCTGTGTATCGTGTAGCCTGCTGGCCAATGATATCAAAGAATTCAAGTGTCAGCTAGAAATTATCAAAAAGCAAAATAAGAACAAGAATACTACTAAAACAAAAGCTTGCCAGAGGACATGAAAATGTGACCAGATGCTCAAAGTGACTGTTTTCTAAGCCGGCTATAAGAACTCCAGAGAGAATGATTTGTAACCTCAGGATAGGACTAAGTGAGTAATAAATCCGAAAAAGTAACAAAACTGTGTCGAAGTAAAGTTAAGATTAAGTAAGAAAATTATGAAGAAAAGTATTAAATAAATAGGATGGATGAAAGCATTTGTTATATCCGCGATTAAATTATTTATTAATAAACCGCATTTATCCTAATAACCAGCATGTATTTTTCAAAAATACCAATTAAACATAAACATTTAAAATNCGAATTTTCCTTATCCGGATTACCTTCATCTCAATTAGTCCGGATAATCGAGGTTCTACTGTATATTTTAAAAAGTGAGATTTATTATTTAGGATTAAAATATATTAAATTAATGTTTCTAACATATGTACAATCTGAAATATCTTGATCATTGACACGATGTTTTGTGTTTCTCTCATCATATAAGAAATCTTGTGATTTTCACACACACACTATCTAAATTATTAAATTATTAAGTTACACTTGAATATTCCTATATTCCTATGTATTTCTTGAATATTCCTATTTAATTATTTAATCCTCTATATATATATATATATATACAGAGTATATAGAGTATAATATAAGTATGCAATTATATATTAAAGTTCTACGCGTAATAAAATTTAATATATATTTCACGTTTATACGGCGTAAAGCATTGATTTTAATTTATAAAAGATATGTTAAAATTGAGAAGTACGGTAATTATATTTACCACTATCGAGTTCCCGTGGTTTTGTAGTTTTTTAAGTTTCTTCCTGAAATTTATAATAAAGATGCTTATGAAAATGTAATTACACAAAGATTTATTTATGATAACAATATCTTATATACATACCATTATTTATCTTTATTACATCTTCTCGGTTCATGTTTTCGATGCGATAATACCATTTGTGTCACACAAATTTTTATGGATACAGGTCATTTTACTTTAGTGAGTAAAACCAATTCTAATGAAAGTTGCTTCATAAATGAACATAACTCTTGTTTATGTACATAAAGAATAAAGAAACGTTCTTTCAACGGAATAACAAATTATTTCGCTTAAAAAACAGCAGATTGCTTTATGACCTATTTAAGTACATTCTTTCAATTTTTTTTCTTTTTAATTCCTTGCTGTAAATTTAATCATTTTAATATAGAAAATTTTTATTTATTTACATTATTAACTACGTATTATTAATAATCTTCAGAACATTTTTTAAATTTAATTTTTATAGAGGAATTAAAAGAAGAATTTATTTGAAATTATCTTAATGCTTCAATCTAATCTCATGTTCATTCCCAATGATATACAGTAATGTTTCGTAACAAATATAATTTTTTCATTATTCAATAAAATGTTTTTCATAATTAAATTAATTTTAATAAAATCAAAAAATAAACATATATTAAATTAGCTAAACTGCTATAATTAAACAAAATATAAAAAAAAATTATTTTAAAAAAATCAATATTTTCGTTGTTTTAATTTACATCGCCATCTACCGAAAAAAATTCAAAACACGTGATAAAATTTCATTATACTTTTTTTGTTTGTTTTTTTTTTACTATTTTTCCCTCCATTTTCCTTATTTTATTTTCTCTTTTCTCTTTTTTTTTTTAAATTCTGTACACGATTAAGCAATATTTCTACATCAGAGCAATGAAAATAAAACGGCATAAACATTAAAAGGACGGAGAATGGTCCTCGGTGCACCTTGGGTAATATAAAAGAGATATGACGTCATTGAGGCGGGAAAAAGGCAACTTGGTGTGCTGACGACACTGGTACGTCATCACGGTACAACTATCGCCATCTAGAAGCGAATCCGAAACCGAACGGATAGAAAATTAATCTAGTAATTATTAATACTATTAATACTAATAATTGACTAATATCGTTAAAACATTTTAAAAATGTATTTGCAATTATTCGTAATTTTTTCTCGACATTAGAAAGTTTTTTTAGTCTAATTTTAAGAAAAATGTATTTATAAGAGCAATTTTTACTCGGGAATTAATAAATCAATAAAAATAACTCATGGAAATGTATACCGTGAAAACATACCAAGTTTATATATATATATTTTATATATATACACACACACGCACACACACAGATATATATTTATATGTATAAGGCAGCCTCGTGCGCACCGTGACGTCACTGCTAAGATATCTAATCGACACAGATATGTAGAATTGTATATCGATAATATATTTTTCTTTTTCGCTCCGAAAGAGAGAGAGAGAGATAGAGAGAGAGATAGATAGATAGAGGAAAAAACAACCGTTCATAAACCCTCCACAGGTGGGTTGCCATTAGTACATGTGCTCGATGGTCTCCTAGATTGAGGCTTGACGTCAGATGACGCCGGAGCCTGACGCTCCGTCGAGCGAACTATTGCTATATTAGCCGCTAGAGGAGCTATAGCCGATGGATGTGGCAGTGCTGTAGTCATTGGATAGGGCGACACCGATGACGGAACTCGAACCACAGCGGCCATGGCGTTCATCCCGTTGACGCTTCCTAAAAATAAACATGATTAGAAATCAGTAAGGTATATGAAGTTAAAAAAATTAAAATCTCTATTAAAAATTTTTAATTAAATTTTAGAAACACTCATTTATATATATATATATTAATTTTGTTCGTTGATAGAAATATAAAATTTTGTTTTTCTCTCAACAGATGGCTCTTTACACGAAATATTCACACACACACACATGCCATAAATGTAATACATATTTATAATATTTATTAAAAGTACAATTTTTCTGTTTATAAAAACTTTTTCCTTGCCGATATTTTAAAAATAAAACTGCATTATTTAAAAGTTTTAAAGTAGTTGGCTTAAAAATTGAGATTTTTTTTTAATCAACAGATGGTGCCACTAATGGGAAAGCAAGAACGAAATGAAATTTGCATAATCTATTTATTTTTGAATAATAAAGTATGAAAAAAAAGAGGTAAAAATCTTAATATATTTATCTCATATACAAATATTTTTTAAAAATTTAACTATAAATATACATAAAACATATTTGAACACATGAAAAATATTTAAAATAATCTAAACATACAGTAAAAAAAATAATATTAAATATTTATATATACTCAAAACTGTATTAATTAAAAAGANGTTATATCCGCGATTAAATTATTTATTAATAAACCGCATTTATCCTAATAACCAGCATGTATTTTTCAAAAATACCAATTAAACATAAACATTTAAAATTAAAAAAAAAATAATAAATAATAATAATAATAGAATTCTATAGGGAAAAGACTATATATTTAAGATCAAGATCCTTTTAGATAATATATGAAACATTTTTTTTTGAATTTTGAATAATTAAGCCTATATAATTAAAACAAATTACATAATTAAAAATATCAGCATAATAAGCACGATGTCCTTTTTCATAAATATGCTTAATATTTTATAAACTATGATAAATTAATGTAGACAGATAGTTAATATATATATAGTAGATTCATATGCTTAATATTTTATAAACTATGATAAATTAATGTAGACAGATAGTTAATATATATATAGTAGATTCAGCTAATATTAATTTGATATATGAACACCCATAATCAGATAACAAATATATAATCTATACTTTAAAGTATGATTATAATAACATTCTGAATAATTCAGTAAATTTATGAATGAATGACTTATATATAGTTGCATGTAAATATACCTATATGTATACAAACGTAATTTTGTATATATTATAACTATGTAGATGTGTTTGCGTTACTATAAGTACGTTTATAAATGCACAAACACACACATACAGCTACACATATATTTATATTGATTATTGTACATAATAAAACTGAGAGAGAAGGAAAAAACCAACTTGAAAATGAAGATTTATCGAAAAATTCATCGAATGCATATATTTTGTTAGTTTTGTTATTTTTAAAATATTGATCTTGCATACATTAATTCTGATTAATATTTACTTTTCAAGAAATAAAAATATACAAAAGCATACGCTACTATTTCTAAGAAATGATACATTTTTCAGCATAAATATTATATTTATTTCCCGTCTATTTATTGTTTTCTCAGAGATTTCTCTTTCCACAATTGAGGAGTAGGACTTAAGTTAAATTTTGATGTTTTTTAGGAATTTTCAAAAAAAATTTTAGATAAGGTTTGTTATGAAGTGAGTAAAGTATAAATGTTAAATACGTTTAAGTAAAGTGCTTATTATAGCAAGGAGACTATCCATATCCATAAAACCCTATTCGATATGCATAATGAAATAACCGAAAAAGGTATCTAAGTGCACTTAGGTATCTTACTCCATACAACTGCTCAATATTAAATTCATATTTTGAATTTTATAGAGAAAATTTCCTATTATTTCTATAATATTTACAATAGTCGCGATTTTTTTTATCGCAATGTAACTGATTGGTGAATATTAATATATTTTTTATTTATTTTAAGTATGTGAAACTTTTTACAATTCTTTTTAATTATTAAAATTTTTACTTTTAGATCAATTACTATCAAAATAATTTCCTGCATTTTCTTATATAACATTTTGTAATTATTTTTTAGAAGTAAGTTGTAATTTTATATTTATTTATTATTTATTTTGCATGCTAGTTTTATCCATGTTGTGGATAATTTCATATCCTTTCTATAGGCTTATATATACAGAGGATCAAAACTATATGCTTTTATGTTTGGTTGTATTATATAATAAAGAAAATTATACATGCACCTAATCTCTATTAAAGTTTCGATATAAAATATTATGTAGGTATTGAGTGAAAATGTTTAAAAAATGTCAAATATTCTATATAATTATGTTATATTATAATAAATAATTATTTGTACATCCTTATGATTTTTAGAGAAAAATTGTAAAATAAATTTGCATTTTTTTCCTTCATAAAGTATACGATAATACTTAACACAAATAAAGTTTCAGATATTAGAGATTATTCAGGACGATAAATGTTCAAGCCATATAGAAGTACTGTATATAAGAAAAAAAATTAGTAATTAGGAATTATACAAACAATATCCTACAAAAGAATTTTTTTCTCTGCATTAAAAATCGTGTGAACAATCTCGATATTTTATCTTACCATGTTTTATTCTATATATTTGTATAAATATGAGTAAGGCTGCTCTAGCCTATTTTCCACCCTTAGGCATCACATAAATTTGCCACCCCTCAACTTTAACCTGACATAAGTTAAAACCCAATGTGACATTTTAGTAAGGAAAAGTCATCTTTTCCCCTTACCTAAATATATCATCTCCTGCCTTTACATTTTTTTTTATTTTATAAAAAAAAAGAATTCTTATAAAATACCATTATGTACAGTACACTTTCACATTTTGCCTTCCCGAAGTTTGGTATGCGAGTAAAGCTATATATGTACAGTACTGTATATGGAATTATCCAATTACATAAAAATAAAAATATTAAAGTATTTGTAACTCATCAAATAAATGTAGAATTTTGACCATATGAATTTGATTTTAAGTAATTAGGAATTAGATGGTCAAATATGATTTAAGCACGTTTTATAAATTTCCAGTTTTCATAGTTAAGTAATACACAAACATAAATTTTAATGCAGTTAAAAATTAAAATAATATCAGTCCTTAACTACATTTAAGGATTTATGCGAATTTGTAGCAAATTCTTTTATATTGTTCTAAATTATTGTTGTATAAGTATATGATTTAGAGATATTAACGTAAAACAATTATCATTTTTTAATTTATGTTTCTATTTAGTATACAATAAATAATATTTTCTTATTTCTGCCAAAAAAGATAATTATTTTTAACTTTTAATGGATTCTTAGTAAATTTAAATAAATATTTGGTATTAAAATTAAGTGATGTTACAACATTGTTATATTTTAGTCAATGAAAAAATTAGAGGAGAAATAAATTATTATATGATTAATAGTTTCATGTCTAATTATTCCAAGTAAAAATTTTAATTAAGTAAAATTTTAATTCTAATTTCATTTTAGATTAATTATAATAACATTCCACTTGTAAAAAAATTTTGATGAAATTAAATTAAGGACGGTGAGGAAAAATCTAATGAATTTAGGCTTAAGTTCCATATATAATTTTAAATTATTTATATTTTTATAAACAAATATGATTTAATTACATCTTATTAAAAATATTTTTCATTTCATATAAATTTCACATTGTAAATAAACATAAAATTCGACTTCAAATTATCCTATTCAGAAACGACACGAATTTGATAGCAATTTATTTTTTTTTAATTCTTTAAATCAAAATTAATAAAAATACATGAAATGTTTTGCAAAGGTGAATGTAGTATAATTCAAAATCTTGTGGTATTCGATGGTACAGTACTGTACAATAGATTGATATAGTAGATATGTATATGACAATATAATAGTTTGTCTTACATAGAATCATTGGATAGAGCATTCATGCATTCCAGTTTAATAATTAGAAATTTATGTAAGTGCAAACTTTTGATAGAATGCACATGTAACTGGATTAATTACTTCAAAAAATTCAGATTATTTGTTAATTAAAAATTATTCTCGTATTCAATTATCTTAGCATAATTCTTCTCAAAATGGTTGGTTTAATTAGAATAATTTATAAATAAATATAAATAAGTTAAAGCACCCTGTGTGATAATACATTTACAATTTATGTATAAAAATAATTTCAGCCTGTTAATTTTATATATCAGTTAAATGTTTACTTTCACAATAATTCTTCAGAGAAAATGTGTGTTGAATATTAGAATAATTTTAAAACTTGTTGAAGTGGGAATACGATAAATTCCACTAGGAAATAATGGTAATTTTTATATTATTGTTTATCTAAACATTATATTTGAAACGAAATATAAAAAATTTCACAGAAATATTACTTTAAACATTCATTTACATTAGAATTTACGTTCTGTTTATACTTTATTTTCTCTAAAAAATCGTTAAATATATAGCCTATATATCTTTTTTATTAAAATATAAATGGATTACATCAAATTTCTTGAAATTCGATTAACTTTTCCTTGCTTCTTTAGTTGTACAGTACATATAAGCTAATTTACTTGCGTTAAATACTATGATAAGATTATATATAAATATCATTAGTTGTTCCAGTCTAATGTAGCTTCTGCACGCATTTAATTAAAATTGGAGTACAAGTCACACGCATTTAATTTAATGATTTATATGTTTGCTGATTGATATAGATGATAATTCTATAGTTATCCGGATTAAATATAGTATTGGTTCGTCACATTCGAACTAGAGTATAAGTTAAAAACAGCTGTAATTTTAAGAAAAATTTATTTGCCTTTCATCCAGACCTTATATAAATAGCAGGAAACTATACATATAAATCACCTAAGTGTACGATAAAGTTCTATTATTATTATTTTAATAACTATCGCATGCATGTATTTGCATCCAAGTTAATTAATATGCATACGTACGTTATCTGAATATATTATATGTGCAGTACCTTAGTATACAAAACGTATGAAAAATATTTTAAATTAAAATGACTAAAATGAAAACAAGAATATTATACATATAAAAATTAGTGTTTGAGACTAATTTTTAACTCAAAGAGATGATATGCTTTACTTATTGGGCTGCAATTTGAAAAAATTATAGACTTATAAATTCCCACTGTCGTCCGCTGTCTGTCTGTCTTTCCTTAATCTCGAGAACGATGTTAGATAAATAAAATTTAAGAGGAGCTATGGAAAGCTTAGAGGCAGGAGGCCCTGATTAACTATATACGAACTTCCGATTGGACCGGAAGTCGCGTTATTTCAATTGAAAATTTTCCCCTGAAAAGAGTTAAACAGATGACCGGCACGACTTCATTGCTAAAGAAAAAGTATGATATACAGGGGCAAGATAGTACTAATTTGAGGTGGAGAGTATATCTTTTAAATTAAATAAATCAAAAATATGATTAAAAATTGCAGTCAGGCATTGTTACGTTATTTTTTATCTATAAATTTAATAATATAGTTGTTTTTTTAATATCATTAACGGAAAATTCTTTGTAAGACTAAAATTTCGAATATAGTTATCTGGTTGTAAATCGAGCACTATTCATTCCTGACTTTTAATACGAAAATATCGAAAGAAAAAATAATTCTGAATTTCCTGAATAATCTGGAATTTCTTAACTTTTTAATATTTATTTCTATGAATAAATGTATTTAAATTCAGATTGTGTTCGAGTGTTAACCTGTGTAGAAAGTAGAAAGGAATATTATCACTTGCAGAAAGACGTATTGTTTGTTATATTAATTTCTAACGCTTAACTTAGAAACTGAAGCTTGTGGCTTATTATATAAGTGAATAGTCAAGCCTCATGTGAATGTTATATATTATGTGGCTTATTATGTAAGGGAATATTCAAATGATGTTTGTATATTCATTCTCAATCGAATTTATTTACTTTCTTTTGTAAAAGCTGATGATTATAGGATATCAAATATTGGTTTTGAAAAACTTTTCCTATTGTTCCAAGAAACCGTTTATCTTACTTTGCTACTTATTCTATATTTTGTCGATGAGCGTGAGAAAATCTGCCTTTATTCACCTGTTTATAATTCCATGAAAAAATAATATATAGTTTTTCATTCTTTGCATACATTTTTAACTTTTGTTTACAGAATATTTACAATTTAATTTTTAAACTTGTTTTGCATATTTATAAAATGGTCTTAAATTATTTTTAAAAATGTAGGGAAGGTTTTAAATTAGATAATCGGTGAGAAATGCTGTGTTCAATTTTTAAATATTATATCGCTAATTATTTTCTGTATATCAAATATCGATAAGTTAAGCGAAAGATTAAAAAAAAAATAAAAAGTAAAAACTTGTATAAAGAGATTAATATAATAAACTTGGTTAAAGTTTTTAAATAAGTTTCATTTTTTGAGTTTTTTTAATTAAAATTGTAATATTGAATTTTTAATATGTTATTATAATTATTAAAAAATTCCTTTTACGATTACATTAAAATTATTTAGTGATAGATAAAATGTGACTGTAACCTGCTGCCCAGTTTCAAGAGAATAGGTGTGGTTGTATCTGTGTCACGTGATACAGAAACATTATCAGCAAAAATGTAGTTGTATTAGTGATTTATAGATTAAATTCTTTTAAATTTAAATGCCATTTCAGTCATGTTGATAAATTCGAGGTTACAATGTCAAAAGTTTAAGCCCATTGTGAATCAGAAGCTTTGACATCATGTGTCGTAGGATGAATTTATTAAACTGAATATTCATTACAGAAACTGCTTCTAAATGAATGTTTTATTAGAAGAAAATGTGCATAGATATGGAAGAGCGTGATATCAGAAAATATAAAATAAAACGTGGTTTATTTAAAAAGGTTTATGTTAATCTAAACTGCCAACATAAACGATTTGTATTCGTTATCTTTTGTAGTGTTTGTTATTGTCTATTTTACTTTAAAGAAGAAATTTATAGCATCTATTCATATCAGAGAAGAAATTTGAAATGAGAACTTTTAATTTTTCTAAACGCATTCAAAAATCAGGCATTAAGAAACTCGTAGTAGTAGAATATGCCTCCCGGAAACAAAATAAATTTTCTTAAATTCTGAATATTGCAAAATGACAACTTAATGGGAAATGTCATACGACTCGTACTTCTTTTAAAGCTTGAATTCTACAAATTCGATGAATGGAAAACATTTAATTTCGAAATACTATTCAAATTTGATTATAGATATAAAAAATAGTTTCGAAAGTATCGACATTTTTATTATAATTTTAGAAATGATTTGCCAGTATTCAGAACAAATTTGCATTTGAACATTGCCTGTCTAGACATTAAGCAATTCAATCGAAAATTGCACATCTGTGGTGTTTTATTCGTGTCTCACATTAGCTGGACAATACGCACCATAAACCCGTAATTGCCAACCTCCGTTACTGGATAGAGATAATGTTATGCAGACCAAACGAAATGCACGATTAACTTAGTTTTTAATAAAATGAAATTCTTTTTGTCAACAATAATTTTTTTTTAAAAAATCCCATGTGACGACTTTATAAGTTTAAATAGAAATCTCTTACCTTTACCACCGTAATCTTTTAGAGCTGCTGGATGATGATGCTTAATAGCATTCATTCTTCGATGCTGTAATCCAGCTCCCGCCGGAAATTTAGGTCTAACACGTGGTTGTTCTACAGGTAAAACCCTCCTTCTCTGTTTCGGTAACTTTTCTCTTGCTTGAGTATGAGAATAGAACATTGTAAAATTCGATACTATCACAGGAACTGGCAGGGCTATGGTCAGCACACCAGCAAGGGCACATAGAGCTCCAACTAGCATCCCCGCGTAGGTGCGTGGTACCATATCACCGTACCCAACAGTTGTCATCGTAACAATGGCCCACCATAGCCCTTCAGGGATGCTCGTGAAATCGTTGTTTGGATTAGCCTGTAATCTTTCGGCGTAATAAACCAAACTGGCAAAGATAACAATACCAAGTACTAAGAAAAATACCAATAAAAATAATTCTTTTGCACTAGCTTTGAAAGTGTGAATGAGAATTTTGAGACCACGTGAATGGCGAGTAAGTTTGAACAGCCGGAATATCCGTATGATACTAAAAAAGTCCAAAATATCGGCGTTTTCAAGACCCGATGCTAATCGTTGAAGTAACATATCCGAATAGAAAGACATGGTTGCAATAAAATCAATGATGTTGATTGGTGCACGAATGAAATCCAATTTATTTGGACTCACGATGAATCTAACAGTGATTTCGAACGAAAACCAAGCGTTGCAGACACTTTCGATATAGAAGAAGGCTTTGTGTGCCTCGGTTTTGGTTTTGTCTAATGTCCACGCTGTTATGTTTGGAGGGTAGGATACTGTCCTATTCACTATCATGGGAACACGCATGTTTGGATGAGTTTTCAAGCAAAATGACAAAATAGAAATACAGATGAAGAAAACTGATAAAACGGCCACAACCTGAAACAGAAAATAACAACATTTTAGAATATTTTTAGTGGGAAAAAGATCTTCATGTATTTTTAACCAATACAATTTTAAAATAAAATTGTAAATTTTATTAAGCAATAATAAAGTACTTATTTCTATTTTTAACCGGACGAAATATTTTCGGTAATTTTCTTCTTTTGTTAAAAGTGGAAGTGAACAGGACACACACACACACATTTATATCATATATATATTTTTTTATTTTTTCCGACTTAATGTTCATTCCTGTCCAAATGGAATGATTTAGTCAAGTAAACTCTAGTTTGAAATAAGAGGATTTTAAGGATTACAAACTTTCGAACTCCTGATTAAAATCATAACTAAGTTTGAACGAGTGATAGTCATTTAAAATCGAAAGATGTTGTTTATTTAATTATACCTCTTGCAGACATTTACTATATAAATTTAATACGTATATTATATATATATAATACATATCTGAAAATTTTCTTATAATTTCTGTATATATTTAATGGACATATATAAACTAGTTAATGCATTACTGAATATTTTAATTAAAAATTTAAATTTTTTAGATGTTTTAAGCTGAATATAACTGATCCTAACTGTTTCGAATATAAAATTTATAAACCGAATTTGTAATATTTCTTTTTTTAATAAATTGGATCTGACAGAAATAATTACAGTTTAATTTATTGGTGTATACATTATCCCTAATTAAAAAGACAAGGCTATAAGGAAATTAATTTTGTTATGGCTTTTTTTTGTATTAAGGCTATTGATTCTTAAAAAAATGTCTAGATAGATTTACGAATGAGGTACTCGCACTCTGTATATACTTAAAGCGAAGACTTCCCTATCGACGTAAATGTATTATTACTTTTTAATTTCAATTACTCCCACCTTTCTCGGGGGTAATTAACAACTCGAGTGCAAATTAAAGAACTTCGAATAAATCGTCCTTGAGCAAGTATCAATTTCCTTCACTATTTCATACAGAGCGGAGTTGCATTAAACAGAATAGAGGCCGAACTTAATCGTTGCTTACTCAATAATTTACTAGGGTGAATACAGTCTAATATACTTCAGGGAATGCTCTCTAATTATAGACACTATACCGACAAAGGGTGGAGTTATAACAGAAAGAATGACTTTACATAAATTCTATATTAATCAGGTATTATATAGAAAATTTGGATTTAATTATTTAATAGACAAAAATTACATTTTCTTTTTTTATATCGAACGTTAAATAGAATGTATCAAATTCCAATTTTTATATTTTTATTACTTTATGTCCTAATATTGATAATATATAAATATAAACTACGATCATAAATAGTTCTGTTTCAACCGTGAGAAACTATTAAAGGTATATTCAATCCGTCTTTTAATAATAGTTGAACCTTCTCGTTTAACGCAGTTTTACTTTATTCTGTAGCAAATACGAGTGGAAAACATATTCTATTTGCTACTTTAAACAGTTTATTCTCAATCTACGGCTGGAGTTTTCGCTGAATTGAATATACAGTAGCATTTGCGGAAGCAACGAATTTTCATTCTGAATAGAAAACTGTTCAACCACTTTAATAACGTCATCCATGATTTATTATCCAGAGATTTATGATATAAACTCTAAAACGATATGCAATTACACGTTAAACTTTGATTAAATTTAGAATTAAATCACTATGACCCAGCGGAACCTTCTAACTGAAGTAATGCTATAAAATTTGTTTGCACTGGAACATTACCAAAATTAAGGGGAAAAAGTAATTCGTTAAAATTTACTTAATTAACAAATTTCTTCATAAATTTACTTTCTTAAAAAAAATGAAATGAAAATTCACTTATATTCGCTTGAAATTTGCATAATTGAAGAAAATTTTAAGGGCATGGATAAAAAGATTTTTGCTAAAATATCCGCGAGATGTATAAACGAATGAAAAATATTTACTATCTCTACATATATCTGTTTACTTTGAATATTCAAACAGAAAAATCTAGTTAATAAATAAATTACGTTTTATTAAGTAAACAGTAAAGTTTATAATGTATTATATTTCTAAAAAAATTGTAATAAATAGTCAATAAATGATTTTGTGACTCAGTTTTGTGAATGTTTATGAGTTCACACTTTACTTTTATTACTTTCAGCCATCGAGAAAGAGATAAACAGGGAAAAGGTGTGGCTTACAACTTCTTTAGAAAACAATCTGTCTCGCCATCATCGTTTATAGGTGAGTAAATTTCATTTTTGTTTCATCTATTTATATCTTGTTCATCTTTTTATTTATATTTTGATATCTTGAAGTAAGCTTCTTACAGTCTAAAGTACATTTTATAAGGTGTTTTAATCTTTTCTCGAATTTTAAATATTCGTTTAGTTTTATTTATGCTTAACTAAAAATATTTTCCTTTCTTTTTTTAATAAATTCACTACGTTGTTTTAATATACACTTATTTATTTAATAAAAACGAATTTGCTCTTTACAGAAACTAATCTTTTTTGTCTTACTAACTTATGTAGTCTGTATAGCTGCAAGTCGTTAGAAGATGAGACCTCAGACAAGTGCCATTTATCACTAGGATTGTCCCATGATTCTCAAATAATATCAACTAGTAATATAATACTCTAGAAAGATGTGATGTATTATAAATATATTTGTTCATTTTACTGTCTAAATGACAAAAACTTTTTGTTTTTGAAAGAATTATAGAAAAAAAAACTAATCACTTACCTTAGCAGCCGTTGAAGAATAAGGTTCGTCAAAAAGCAACCAAATTTTTGGCTTTATTTTTTGCCAACAGTTGAGTTTACCAGCGTAAAAGGCTTCTTCCATACGAAATTTTCTAGCTAGTTCTTCATCTGTGGGCTTTTCAGAATCAATGTCTAAGTTATCCAAAATAGTTAAGGTAGATTGGGTATCTCTGTGTGTAGTGTACGTCATCCAACAACAAGGTTCCACTTGATTGGCGTCCAATCCCCAAAATTCCAATTCTTCTTCGAACAAAGGTCCACATACATTGGAAGGATAATGAAGCTTTCCCGTACGATAATAATTAAGTATCTGAGCAAACACACCCGGGTGTCTATCAAAAAAATATTCGTTAAGAATCGGATCATAATTGGCCAAAGCTTCTGTGAGTCTGGAAAGGCGAGTGGCAGGAATCTTTTTAAGGGTGGCTTTGTAAGTTTCAAATCTGATACCTCCGACATTTAGTATAACTCTGTTGTCTAAATCAATAGCCCCACGATGTCCATAGGTTTGGGATATGAACATGGTCAGTAAGTGCTACCCACTCTGGAATGAAAAAAAAATTTTTAATTTTAAACTTACATTACTTAAACAATTTATGCATTAGTTTAGAAGTAGTTTCATACCTGCACATGGTATAACTTAGGCGCTTGTGGTTTAATTAAAAAAAATTAATTATTACGAAAGTGTCGCAACATGTAAAAGTGAAAGCACACACGGTAGTTCAAAACATCAGAGTTATACAGGTAAGCCGACAAGCAACGGCGTTAGCTCAGAACTGAAAGTCATGCATCGATTGCACGAAAGTTCAGTCGCTCCCTCTATCTGAGAGATTCGTCAGTTATTTTATAGTACGTAACAATAAAATTATTGTAGCATTCTGTACACAAATTTGTGATTGATTTCTTTCGTTTACACTAATCGTCAACCTGCTACATTCTTCTCTATTGTTCTAACGGATAACAGAAACTTGATTAACTTCAAACGATGCTACTGTATTTTATTTTTTTTCTCGATAATTTTCGAAATAATATCTTCTGTATTCTCTCATGCATCGTCGTAGAGTATATGTCTCGAATCAGTTCTTTTGTGTTGGTATTTGTTAGTTTCCTCCAAAGCAAACATTGATATTGTTGATGATGTCTTTTATATAACTGTGCAAACAAAAATTTGGTTTGCTAATCATTTATACAAATGGTGATATTTTAAATGCAAACGAATCCCGGATCGTGATGACATCATCGGCGAATGCTGTCCCCGCATAGGAGATTCTATCGGATACGTCATAACTGCATATCCCGGGCTTTACCTGTATTTTTCTTCGTATGGTTCCGGTTTCATGCATATCATTTTATAGTTGTATAAATACGTCAGCCGCCATGTTTGTTTTGACAGGAATTGCTAATAACATGTAAACTATGCTATTGTAAAATAGTAAATGTTTGATTAACGAGAGTAATTAATACAGTGTACGAATACATTTTTGTCGGTATTATTAACAAAATTTGAAAGGTTTATTATGCAGCATGAAAGGAAATTAAAAGTTATTATAGCTCATAATATTTTTCTCTTAAATTTTAAACGTTTACATTTTATATTATTATTCAATCGCCAGTCAAATTTTAAGCTTAACTTTTTCTCGAGATGGGTTTAAAATATGATAAAATTTAATATGTTTTCCTCGAATTACATAGTAAGAAAACTACGGAAAAATTATAAACAAGCAAGGTAACTTAAATTGTTATTTAAATATTAATAGGATATTTGAAAGAATTATTCCTTATTATTACTGTCGTAAATCCATTATAACGGGATAAGTGAACAGTATATTAAATTTATTAGTCATTGAGTTAACAATAAAATTCGAATAAGATAACTTCGTACTACTTCAATAACATATTTAGTCAAACTTAATTGTAGCTTAACTGAATTTTCTCTTCCTATGTTAATGAATTTTCAGCGAACATTGTTTAATCCTCATAGAAAACGTTACATATAGCCTATATTAATATATAGGCTATATGTAACGTAATATTAATACATGATAATAATAATAATATTTTTTAAAAATTTACCTTTTATAAGAGAGAGATAGAAATCAAATAAATAGTCCAACTACAGCTAAGATTTATTTTAATAAAGTAAACATGATTTATGCATTATCGTTTTATTTTTTCTTTATGTTCAGAATGTAACCCACAATTTTTCCCTTCTTCAAAAACTTAAAAATTTCGAAAGCTGCTCGGGAAATAAAACATATGGACTTAAAATCTCAACTATAAAACAACGATTTGTTTGGATATAAACAGAAGTATTTTTAACGATTCTCTTCACAGTTTTGGCATCCATAAGTGGATAAATAATGAATGGCAAAAGAATCATTAAAGCAGAGCAATATCGGTTATTTTGGTTATCTAAACTACTTTATATATATATATATAAATGATTCGTAATTCACGAAACAATTTTATACATTCTCCTTATAAAATAAAAATTGGATCATTAAAGCCAAATGCACTTCACCTCTTTTAAGAGAGTTATTTTGGTACTTAAATACAAACACACAAATTTTATAAGCGATAACCGTCATCTTCTACATGCGAAGGTGCCAAATTTGGCATGGAAATTAGAAAGAAAGTCACAGGTTATATAGCTTAAACGTAACTGGTTTTTGCATGGTAATTTTATTTTTAATTATTTCTTTAACAGTTTAACGGTATTAAATAGAATTCCTTGACCTTTACTCTTAAACTATTATTATTTTTTAAACTGTATTGTGTGTGTGATTTAAGTATATAACGTCAGTTGATCTATTTATAGCGAATAATAATCTCACAAGTCTGTTTTCATGCTGACAAAGGATAATAAAGTTGATATTAATGTAAGCTAGTTGAATAGATACGTGTAAAAATCAGTTTTAATATGTTGAAGATCCATTAAAAGTTTGTCTAAAATTTGCTGATAAAAAAATTGTGTAACTTAATCTTGCTTATTTGAATAATTTTATTGATTAACTCGAAATTTAGTCTATCATAGAAATCTAGGACTAATTATATTGTTATCGTAAATAAGTTGATCATCCATTAATTAATGTCTTACTCATTCTGGTCGATTTATATATTCTGTAATAGAGGATACGTTGCAGATGCAAATTATAAACCAATGTGTCGCTTCTAACAATCAAATTCGATTCGTTACGTTCTCTTTTAATAAATAATGCACCGTGTCCATATACTCAATGATATCCCGGCCCAATACACGTTTCAAGCTAATGCGAAACGTCACAAAGAGGTAATTCTATGTTTTAATTACGTCACATAAAACCCATAAAACGTGTGATGTCACACATACAAAATAACTATCTTAGTAATTTTTTTACGCTCTGACTTTACATTAAATACTAGTTTTATTTGAATAACGACACTTTATAACGTCACACTAGATGAATTCGTCACGAATAAAATATGACGTTTTCAATGATTTCATATTAGATCTCTGTCTTTACGTCTTTCATTTTCTTCGTAAGGAATTGTTTAAAAGAGTTTATTTTATCACAAAATTAGTTTAAAGTGATATAACATCAAAATAAAGTTAGCATTTTTTAAATAAAATTTTTACACAACGCATACATTATATATTAATAGCGCTTTTACACGAAATGGCATCAACCAGACACTCGAGCTAATCTGACGTCACACACAAAAATCTAAGTTGACATCACCGAGATAACACGGTTTACGACGACGTCATAGATGAGTAAAATTGAATAAAATGGCGCCGTAGAAAATTATACTAATTTTGTTAAACGATTAATATTTTATATACGAAAGAATTTATAAAATTTAAATAAAGTGAAATGCTTTCTTTCACTATATGAGAAAAATGTCGAAATGTGTTAACGTTAAGCATAAAAATTTTAAATTATTATTATTATTTTTGTTTCTGCGTTTTACGATTACGGGTAAACTATTAAATATTAAAATTGATTGATCATAAACATATTTGTTGAAACGCCACATTAATGAACTCTCAGATTATTCAAAGAATTCGATTTATTGATAATTTATGCATTCTAATTGAATTTATCTATCAGTTGACTTGGAAACAAAAATACAAATGCAGGATCAATGAATATTTTATGCTTTTGTAATGAATACACATAAGCTGTACATAACGAGCTTACATAGGATTACTTAAAATTTTCATTAGAAAGTTAATCTTTCTTTTAATTGAATGTTTTGGTCTTTAATTTCAAAAAGAAAAAAAAAACCCATGAAGGTGGTAATTCATAGAAATGTTGACATCCAACTCTCCCAACTTATCCTCCGTTGTTGACTATATTAATGCGATTCTTGATAAAATAGAATGCTCCAGATTTAATTTCTAAAATATATATTAATCAAAAAATTCATTTTATTATGCGTTTTTTTCTGCTTTACGTATTAGTATTGTTTAATAAGTCTTAATAACTTAATATTGCTTTATGCATCGATAGAAGAGACATTAATCTGGTATATTAAAAAGTTGGAAATGTCCGAAATTGGGCGGAGCCTATGTAAATCATAAAAATAACATAAACGACATATCGATGCTAAGATATATAATAGAGGGATATTTTAATCTATCCGAATTAATTAATTTCCACGCTCGAGTACTTGCATGCATTTTATAGCTTCTATTATAAGACTCAACTCGTGTTAATTCATCACGTAACGACTCTTTAAACGACAAACAAAAAGTTTTTAATTTACAATTATTCCACTGTAATTTAATTGCAATATTTTACAGAGTCTTTACCGCGAATTCGGAAACCTTAATAAAGTAAAAATAATTGATTTTTTTTTGGCAGATAGACTAATACAAATTGTTAAGAATAGAAGTAGAGTATATCTTTTCTACCTTCCACTACCTGAATACACCTGCACTGTGTTGGCGAAATGCCAAAGCATATAAAAGCCATTTTTAAGGATAAATTGCTTTTAAGTCAATTTTGCACATTCTTACAATTTAAACTAAATTGAACTTATGTATTGATTTTTGCTAAGTTGTGCTTAATTAATGAGAAAGGGAGAATAAAATAAGTAAAAAGTGTACTGTTTGGTTTTTCTAATGCTCTGAAAAGAATTGTGTATTTGTATTCTTCACAAAGGTGTGTGTGTGTGTTTTTTTTCCTTTTTTGTCGTTGGTTCTTTCTATAGATTGTATAAGAGCTGTTTATATGTAATGCACGTGAAAGGAGATCTTAAAAAATTAAAGTAAACATAATTTCTTTTCTCTATGCACACAGATAAAAAGATAATTGAAATGTGAAGAGTAAAGGATGATCTGTTTAAATAAATGTATTGTTTTGAAAGTTGATAAACATCAATAAAAAGAAGTAGGGAGAATTATAAAATAATCGATATTGCAATGCCCATGCAATAATCATTAATTTGTTTCTATTTGGATGGGAAGAAAATCGTTAAAAGTGAGTGTAAACTCCATTTTCGACATTTTGATTGATTGCCCGTGTCATTTGTCGTCAAAAACACAAATGGTTCCAGATCGCTGTAGTCGGAATTTCAATTTTTAGCTTAAGCGAAAACATTTAAGAAAAGATAATTAAATAAATAGGTCGTGTCAGTGTCTGGATATATGAGAAATGATAGGAAAAACTCTTTAAATTTTCTCCCATCTTTTATATTGTCACCTGCCAGATAATGAACTGTGCCATGTTTTGGAGGGCGTAGTCATGGTGACGGGCACAAATGAGAGTACACGTGGTATGACATCAGAAAATATATGGGCGTATAGAGTACATCGTTATCATCAGAAAGCCCGGCTTTTTTAGTAAAATAGCCTAATTTTTCTAATTTTATTATGTATTTGCTATACAATTGTCAAATGTTTGTTTCTTCTTTCAGAAAATATATACGCTATATACCAGTATATAGTTAAAATTTAGTTTTAGACATTTTCGGAAAAAGTTATTTATATTTACTCCTGCCTGAAACATGCAAAATTCCTGGAATATCGTCATAATAATATTATTTACTATATTGTGTGTGCGGGCGATTTTCCATTACTACACAATTCAGACTTTAACGGTCGTTTTCATTTGTAGAAATAGTTCAGTCGGACTAGTAATGTACAGTACTTTATCTTTTTTAACACCAGTGTTTAACACGAATCCGACTTGCCGCCTGAATGACGCCGAATTAAGCTCGTTCATAGCAGAGAATTTTATATAAGGCTTCCACAGCTTTACAAAGTTTTAAGTTTACCTTGTACAGATGATAAATATAATGATACATTTGTTGCTAGTTCTGCCTTTACTATAAACGTTGTGTTTTTCTAACCCACTGTATGTTGTTCTCACGCGTTTATGATATCATTAACCGACTTAATCCATCCGACATCTTTAAGTTGATAACTACAACTTAATCCGATTATGTTAATCCCTAAACAAGTTTGATTATCGAAGAATATTTACTTTTTATTCGTTTAATAAATAACTTTTAACGAATCTACTCGTCATTTTTTACTATAATTTTCAGAGGCAAAGCAAATAAATTCCAAAAAAAAAAAAAAAACATAATAAGGTTCAACCCGAGATAATTTAGTTGTGTTATATACGATCATATAGAAATTCT